CCGTGGTTCCCAAGCTTGTCTCTGTTCCTGATTTCGCTCTTGGCTGCCGCTGCCGCCTTGTTTTCTTGCCTGCCTTTGACGCGGATTCTGTTATAAGATGATTTGGGCCTTGTTTACCTTTTCCACCTTTTTCCCGGCTTTGAGTGGGATGTCTTCCAAGCTTGTCTCCCGCTCTTGCCATGGTGTCCAACTTTTCTTGAAGTGCTATCTGGGGTCTATGCCGGATAACTTTTTTTTTTGATTGGCTTCAGTTCTTGACTCACCACCATTTACTGATTGTTTCATATTGTTTCAGCGGTTGCCAAGTCGCTTTTTGATGAGGGACAATTCTTTTGTGCCGAGGGGCACATATGGAAGGGCCTGCTAGGTGGCCCATCGGGCTGGACTAGGCTAGAGGACTTGGACACACACACACACACACACTGACCTGACAAAAACAAGCCAATCCCAGGGGTTCAAGAGGACTGAAAGGGATGACACAGAGCGATGTGATGACACAGAGCGATGCACACGCATTCGAGTTGCCCACAGGAATGGACTTGCCAGCAGGTTTGAGGTGTCTGGCGTGATGGAGTGGAAGTTGCTTCGGAGTCGGCTGCATTTACTCCGATGAGAAATTTGGTGAGGTGACTTTTTTAATTGCGCCAGGTTTAGGTATCAGGGGCATTCAGGTGCGTTGCGCCATCTATGCGCCCCGTGGCTTAAAAAAAAGGACGGTTCTCCATGATTATGCGCCCTATTTTGTAGAAAATAGCGGAGATTGGGACCGCGCCATCTTTTGGGCCTCCGTAAGAGGAAATCAAAAGGAATCAAAGGACATTAATAGGATTCAAAAGGAAATCAAAAGGACATCAAAAAGAATTTAAAAGGAATCAACACGAAATCAAAAGGAATCAAAAGGAAATGAACAAGTCCAAGAGGAAATCAAAAGGAATCAAAAGGGAATTAACTGGAATCAAACGGATATCAAAAAGAAATCGAAAGGAGATTACTGTAAACAGAAATCAAAAGGACACCGCAAGGACATTAAAAGGACATCAAAAGGAACATAAAAGGAATCAAAGGGACATTAGTACGATTCAAAAAAAAAGCAAAAGGAATCAGAAATGTACAGAACTTGGCCATTGGGCCATCTATAGGCCCCAAACGTTGTTTTATTCTTTTTTAAAGTAGGGAAAACTAGTAACCGCACAAACATCCCGCATAATCTTAATTTTCTGCACTCCAAAGACCAGTTGCGCCATATATGACGGCCAAATAGCGAGAAAAGGCAGATACATGGCGCGGCTGGTCCCGCTATTTTGTTTTTTGAGTTGCGCCAAGAACTTTCCAAACGGTGTATTTTCATGGTGAAGTGCCTTCGAAGTTCCATTCCAATGGAACGGTGCCATGTGAAAGTCCCCCTTCATCGTGAAGAGAAACCGCCTGTTCCTGCCGGGTGTCTTTGCCGCAGATGGCTGTGTCGGACGTTCGCAGATATTGCGAAGTCTTCTGAGATACTTACAGCATTCTTAAAGATCTTAAAGATGCATGCCGTCTCTGGGAACACTGAGGGTGTCATCTGGCAACCGTGACCCTGATGATTTTGGAGATTCTGGCCCTTGTGGAGAGTGGACGGTTCTCCTTGTAGAGAACGGTCCTCCAGAACAGCAGTTCCTTCCCCTGGCTTCCTATGTCTCCGACCCAGAGAACTCGGCAGGTCCATCCTTGGAGCTGGGTGAACGATCGGGGGAATCGGGGTTGGAACTGGGGCAGGTCTCCCTATGGCCCTATGGCAGCGGGTCAAAACCTAGAGGAGACCGCCTCTTTCGCCTTTGGACCTCCGCCACATGGGGAGGTTCGTCTCCGAATCTTTTCGGTGGGAAAAACCCAGGGTTTTGCCTGTACCATGGACCCACAGCCACATCCCAAATCAACCTCCACCAGCTCCTTCCGTTGAGAACTCTCCGGGAAAGGCGGTCCCCCGGTCCCTCTCCGCCGCGGTGCCAGGCTCTCCAGAGGAGGAGCGCTTCACGGTGCATGTGCAGCTGAGGTGTGCTGGTGCTTGGGGATCGATGGATGTCGAAGGAGAGGATCAAGGGGTCCACGCTTTGGCGCGTTACACCAACCTTCCAGGCCGGGCCATTATGACCTCCTTTACTTGGAGCCGGTGCACGAGCCAACCAAAGCGCGGCAGGGAGACTCAAGAGGTGGGGCATGAAGCTGGCAGATGAACATTTCAAGGATTTCATCCAAATTGGCCGGCAAATCCGGTTATTTCCTGTTCACCAAACGCCCAAAACGATCCAAAAAGCACACGTGGCGTGCTTCTTTCTGCGCCTTTGGTGTGGCGATTCCCCGCTTGCGTGGCATTCGTCATGCCTTCTTCCTCCGGTCCAAGTGCCCAGCAGTGCCATTTTCACCTCCAGAGTTGGGGGTTTCCCCAGCTGGGCCTTCCCCAGCATTTTCCTAAAGATATAACAGCACTATAGACAAAAGAAGTGTATGAGCAAAAGTTCATTCACAAGGATCCTCCAGATAGAAAGCTTCCCACAGCCACATCCCTATATCAAGTTGGAGAAGATAAATGAACAGAAGGAGCTGCTCCAGCTATCTCCAGCTAGTTGGGACCACATTTCAGACCGATTCTCCAGCTTGGTACCCGGACGTTTCGTTCGACGGATTCGGCTGGATCGGAGTGCGTCCGGTGACCCAGGCGTGCCACTATCGAATGCTCTGGTGGCTATGGCAGCTTGGGACACCGAGTAGTCAGGTGGTGGTGGTGGTCGTGGTGGTGGTGGTGGTGGCGGTTGAACATATTGAGAACCTCGGATCCAATGACAGCAGGCGGAAAGCATTGGAGTGGATCAGGAGAATTCAGGAAATGTTGGCTGGAGAGCGGCCTTGATTTCAGGGGTTGACTCTTTCATGCTTGATTGGACTGGAGATTCTGGGGTGTGTAGACCTGTGATCTAGAACCTGAGTGCTCCTCGTATCTGTTTGGCAGTACTATTAACCACTCCATTGAGTAGATCCATTGGGCCTTAACATGGAGTTTGAAGCCAAGCGAAACACCTGTGCCGCACGTGTGCCCTGTGCCTGTGTCGAGCCATCAGGAGTGTTGATCCAAATGTTTTCGAGCAGCAAGCAAGCAAGCAAGTACCAAGACCCACAAGTGGTGGTTCATGGACACCCCTTAACCTCTAAGGGGCTATCAATAGACACCCCCAGACAGGGGGTCCTGGTAGAAGTAGCTATGACAAGCACCTTCTGCGTGACACATTCTTCGTCCCCTAAAAAGGTATTCTGTTGGTTCTTTCCTCAAGACCGATACAGTAGACGCGATTGCCAGAAACACCGCCTGGGGCACCGATGGGTTCCCACGTGGCGTTCCAATTCGCACAGAGAGATGCTGCAGCAGGAGTCCACACATGTTAGGATTTGATGGACCAAACATCTGGGATATCCAACCTGCAGCAAAACCCAGAAGGAAACCAGAGGAGAACCAGGGCCTCCAACTGATCAACGAAAGCTTCACGTTTGGGATGCAGACCGAGGACCATCGAAGATCATGAACCCATCGAAGACCATGTGTTCTGGCTGCTGCCCAAAGGGCCTAAAGTGTTCAACCAGCGATGCCCTCGGTCTGAGAGAAGCACCTGGATCCGCCCGCCATGCTGGCGCATGATCTCATTGTATTTACATCGTGTGGGACCTCTCCAAACTCAGCCCAAACGTGCCCAGGCGTTGTTTCAGGGAAGATCTATAAACCCAATCGGCCTCGGGGTGCGAAAGCGGTGTCCTGTCGATTCTCCCTCTCCAACCAAGCCAGTGACGCATCAGTTGGCCCGTGGCCCACCACCCAGGCACCTTGAGCCCAAATGCTTCCTTGGGTGCAGGGGCTCCCAGAGGAACGGTACAAAGGTCTCAAAGTGATCTTTTAAGGCTGCATCGCTCCGATTTTTGGTCCAAACTCCTCAAAGGTTCTCAGTCTCGTCGTGTTCCCATTCCTCAAAATGACTATTCTATATACATATTCAACACCAAAGCATACCAGTATCTATGTACCAAGATGTACCAAGTAGAGCAAGATTTTGTAGTTGGGTTGAACAGGAAGAGCACACCAGAGTCCTCTATATACATACGATCAGTGATGCTAGTCTACGAGAAGTAGGTGAATTGCATGCCAAAAGTGTGTTTGTCAGAAAGCAGGTGGCCCCTAATTCATTTCCCTCAAAACACCTCCAGGTGCGCATAGCTACCTTTCGAAAGCGATCTTGCACCTGATCGCCATGGCGATGCCCAATTAATGCCCCTTACAAATTCTGCAGGTCAATAGAACCCCTGAGGACAGCCGTTTTCTGGTGTCTTGGAGTTTCCCAAAGCTCTACCGCTCGAACCTCTCATCTCAACCCCCTCGACCCGCCCCTCCTCCAAACCACCTTCTTGGGGTCATCGCAGACCTGCCATCTACTTCTCCCCTCAAAAAAGGGGTCGACCTTTGTCGGGACCTTTCCGCGCCGTTCTCCGAAAAGAACAGGACGGCACCTCCTTTCCTCCGGCCTCGGCAGAGAGGCCCACACCTTGGAACCCTTCCGCCTGTGATGGGCGCCTTACGCGGCGACCCCGGCGGTTCGGCGGGCCTTGGCCCTGCTGGTGGGTTTGGCAGAAGGGTCGACTCGTGGTGTCGGGCCGAGTTTTCCCGCGCCTGGAGATCCACAGGGTCGTTTTTTTGGTTGGAGACCTCCGCATACGGAAGGTGCTCAAAGATGGCTCCTTCTCCCTCCTGGATTGGCCTTTTGCTTGGGAGCACTAAATTCAACCTCTCATCGGGGCCACCGGGCTTGGGGCGGGCGACGCACAGCACGAGGGGCGACGCACAGCAGGTGGTGGTTCAGTTCTTTTGCTCCAAGTGGCCCACACTGGGGCTGGGAGCTGGTGGCCGGTCCCCATGACCCGTGCGTCCCGGTCTCATCCCGCAGTTTAGAGGCTTTTATCCCAGCCGGACCGTCGCTGGGGCTATGGCGGCCATGGCCGGGAGTGGAGCGTGGCCAGCCATGCTGACCTTGATGCTGGGACACGCGGGATGTCCTGCGTTCGCCTCCACGCGCATCAAAGTGGCAGGCTCCTCTACGGTGTTCCCCGTGGCCAATGCGTGGGCGACGTCGATGGAGAATGCCAGCAGCTTCGACATCACCATAGAAGGTGGAGGTTCAAGCTCTGGTGCCAGACGGGTTTGTGCTGGCCGTTCAGATCCTAGCCATGTGGATATTGGTGACATGTCCCGTGATTGGAAGAGCAGCGAGGCTGTGTTGCTAGATGATGGCTACACCTTCGAATGTACCTCCTCAAAGATTCGTGTGACCCAAATTCAGGTACGGCGTTCCTTCTTCGTTCCGGGTAGAATGGTCCGACCGGACATTTTTGTGCGGTTTCGTGACTTATGAGTCATGGTGCCAGTAGTTCAACATTGTTTGGCTCATGAAGAGGGACTAGCTAGAAGCCTATTTGCCTGTTTTGATAGGAAAATACTATTTGACTTTGGTCTTCCAAAGGGACAGTTTTTCCACTTCCACCATAGTTCCAGGGAGCGTCTTTTGGGAGGTCCTTCGGGTTGGGTCGGGTCGTGTGTTCCGACGGGCTCAGCCTTAGGCAAGCCCAGAGCAAACCTTCGAACTTGATCAGATTTGGTAGAAAACATGTAGAAGACAATGTTGCTGGGATTCTGCAGATGCCTCAGAATCCTTCAACGCGATCTCAGCTGCTCAAACCGGCTTCGATCACGAAAAAGGACCCATTGGAAAGCCGATCGAACACATCCGTCCGACGCGACGGCCGTCATGTGGCCTTGGGTTCCGATCTGTGGAGAGGTGGGCGTGGATGGCCTCGCGGTGGTCGTCGGCAAGAACAGCCGTGCGCATGATTGTTTGACCAGCCCGGACGTGGGAGGAGCAGCGTGGGGTTCGGAATGGGAATGGGAATGGGAGTGGGCGGGGTGGGGCGATGAGCGGTTGAGGCGATGAACGGTTGGGGGTTAGTGGTGGCCATTTTTGGGTCAGGTTGAGAACTAGAAAAAACCTAAAGAGAGCAAGAAGTGTGAAGTACTGAGTGACCTTGGCACCTTTTTTCTTGGATCGGCTTCTCCTCCTTCGCACCCAAAAGGACGCTCTGAAGCTGTGTTCTGCTTCGTCAGAGAGGGCACCCCTGCTCCCACCCAGCGGCTTCCCGCGGCTGGAGCCGGCTGGGCAGGACTCACGCTGGCCATGCTGCACTGGATTTTCACCAATTGGACCAACAGTCAGCTCACCGCCGACGGGGTGAACCTCGCCTCGGCGGTGCCCAACGATGACGGAGATGGCATCAAGGAGTGGAGCGACCTGTCCTCTGCGTGCGATGAGGTGCCCATCAATGCCTACGGTCCAGGCTCGGACTCTGGTACCTTCGACTTCTTCGCAGAAAAGACCTTGTGCACGGACTGCTTTGGATTGAAGGCCGGCAAAGTCCCTGAGGACTTCCAGTGGTGTTCCAGCAATGCATTGCACACATTGGAACAGGTGAACGGCACAGATGTTGAGGCCTTGCAGAACTACATGCAGACGCAGCGACCCTTGAATTGCTACATGTCCTCTGAGTCTGATTACCAGCTGGTCCAATGGCTGTCCTCAGATGCAGGCGATTTTTGTCTAAAACCAAGTGAAAGGCGATTCCTGTTATGGAGTTTCATGGAGCCTACCACAAAATCACAAAATGTCTGTTTCCCCCCCCATGCGAAATACATCGAACGTAGTAATGTCTGGTTCTTGCCCCAGCGCTGGGCTTCCGGGTTTATGTGCCATTCGAAAGCCATGGAAAGCACTCTACTTCGCCAGTGGTTTCACCAGTGGTTTCCAGTTCGGCTCGAACCATTGACCGAAACAACTCATGCTGGTTTCCGCAAACTGGTGGCAGCCCCCGCGATCCACGGATCTGATGGACCGAGTTCCATCCCCTGTTGGAACCGCTGGAACCCATGCTGCAACTCAACTCCGAGCGATGCGCGGAACGATGCGCGGTGGCGAAGGTGGCATTGGCTACTTCGGCTACAGCTACTACAGCCAATTCGCCTCGCGCCTGACGGTCGCGCGCGTCGCCAGCGACCGGGAGAATGGAGTGCTGGACACCAAGGATGCCAAGGTGGACTGGCTTGGGGAGGATCCAGGATGAGAATCAGAAGTCGACCTTCTCAATACTTGGTTTGGGGTGGAGTGAATTCCCCAGACATTCTCTGTTTGGGACTGGCATATTGACCTACATTGACCCCTGAAACGACCTCAATGGCTCGGTAGTCCATGCCAGTTTCAAACAGGTCGTGTTTGGGACATCTTTCATCGCCACTTCGGAGCAGGAGTCCCATGTCCGTCGTGTTCGAAGGATGTGGTCTGGAGGTGCTAAAGGTGAGTAGAAACACGAGGTAGGTGATCGGTAGGTCGGGCCCCTCCCAAGGATCGGCAATACTTACTGCTGTTCTTAAGCGTTTTCACATGGCTCTAGGGTTCAAGCAGCACCAGCTTGCATGACATACCAGCACCTGACTTTTGAGGGTCACCTATGCAAGCTCGCATCTGTCTACTTTTGTAAGTCTCCAAGCAACATCCCCTTGGCGATGGCTCAAAAAGTAAGACCCGGCAAGACCCCTCGGCAGGGTTTTAGACCATTGTGCCGAAAAAAGCCAGTCGATTTAAATGGGTGTTTTTCTCCTTGAGACGTTGGTCCTGCGAGTCGGAAGGTGGAACCATCGACATATACCATCACAGATGGTTCCTACAGCGTCTACAAGAGAAAACTCTACATGAATGTGGACAATGAAGCCTGGGATCGTGTGCATCCTTACCTTAGCTATGGCTTCAGCCCGAAGGGCCAAAAACATGTGGCCACCGTGGGCTACGTGCCAGTGAACGCGGCCTTGTTGGCCAAGAAGATACGAAGCAAAGAGAGGGGAAACGAAGAGGCAGATTACATCTCCGTGGCTCCAAGCAACTGCCCTGTGGGCACTGAGCTCAGCGCAATTCCATACGTGAATCAGTTTGGTACTGACAAGGTCAATTACACCTGCTCCTTGTGCCCTCCAGGACATGGGGGAGTGGAGCCAAGGCTCCTTTTCTTGAGCTGTCGTGTTGCAGTGACATGGGGGTTCACACCCTCGCTTGCCCTTCGCCGTTGCTGTCGCCACGGAGCTGTGTGGGGGGTCATTCTTCTCCGGTGTGTAATCGGAGCCACCGAAGTGAACGTAAATGGGACGCGGAACACCTGCGGTACCTATGCCCTGGGATTCCAACAACCATTCTTTCAAAGGTCTTTACCAAAAGAACCATTGGTTTACTCAGGATTTTACCACTACACATCCAGGTCACCCAGGAGTCAACCATTCTTTTCATGGTCTTTGAGGGCTAGGGTATGGGATAGTCGAACTAGGCTTCTTAGGCACCAAACCCGCTCCTTTACTGCTGCCAGGACGTTACAAGTTCCTCGACACGCCGACGCCGTGCTCCTATTGCCCGGCGGGCAAGTATGCCGACCAACCAGGGCTAGCCGACTGCCTCTTTTGCGAGCCGGGCTATGAGCCGGTCAACGGCGTGCAATGTCAGCCCTGCCAGCCAGGCTCTTACAAGATGCTTGGCTTCTGAAGCGGAAGTAAAACTTCTAGTCCCAGGCAGAAGGAACACCGCAGCGGAGTGATTCTTTGGGGTTTCTTGATACGCAGAGTGAGGTGACTCACGTCCCCAGGCTGCCAGAAGGATCGCTAGGAAGATGTCAAAAGGGAGCAGATTGATTCACCTCATTTCGATTGAGAAGGATCATGGGCCTCTGGGCCGTTGGGGCGGCTTCCGGCTCCCGCTCTAACCCCTATGGACCGACACGGTCAGCTCAGCTGAGCTCCCGGCGCCAAGGAAAGAGGTGGCGGCGGCGACGTGCTCCCTCTGTGAGCCGGGAACCTTCACCAACCGTTCCGCGCAGGCGGCGTGGGAGTTCTGTTCCGCCCGCCTGGCCGCGCGAGAAGGTCCTGCTGTAGCTTTCTTGTTTCTAATAGCTTCTTGAACTTCTTGCTCCTAGTAGTGAGGCCAGGAGCCCCGTTCGTCGCGAACCTTGTTCCGTTCGTCGCGTCCGTTCCGCGCAGGCGGACTGCGAGTTCTGCCTGGCTGGCTTCTTCTCAATCGAGGGGTCGACCGGGTGCACTGCATGCCCAAAGACGCTTGGCTTGGTTGGTGTGTGGAGGCACAAGCTCAAACAAGGAAGCCTAAAGGCTTGGTTTGAAGGAGGGATATCGATGCAGAATCTCTGTAAGTCAGTTGGTAACAACCTCTCACTACCGTTTTGTCAATAGTAGATAATGGTCATAGTCGTAGTGTTTGCAAGATCTGCAGAGATCTGCAGAGCTGTTTTGAATAATTTGGTCAAGATCGCTTTCAGAACGATACCCAAGATCTCGCAAATAGCAGACCATATTCAATGGAAGGTTTCTCTCAAATCTCCTTCTTAGCTTACGATACCTTCTTTGCAAGGGCGACGTGTATACGGACAATCTGAATTTGTATCGCATGCATGTGCTATAGATCCTTCTTTAGATATAAATAGATCCAATCTAGATCCTTCTAGTTGAGTATGCATGCATAGATCCAATCTTTGCTTCTCAACTTCTGCAAGATCCTGGGGCGTGTCGCCCTCGCTCGCCCCGCGTGTCGGACCGGAGGTTTGCTCCGCCCCGGACCGACCGACCGAGGGTGAGCACCGAACCTCTCGGAAACTGCGGGTTCCGAGTCGGATGGGCCTCCAAACCCCCAGGTGGAGATGCAACAATGTGTGCTGGTTGGACTAAAATACTTAAGAGATCTCCGCTGGACACCCATGCTTGGATGGTGCTGGTATGAAAGAACTTCAGATGAAGCATCAGCCGTACGGTGCCAACTGCATGATAGGCTACTGTGCAGCAACCAAGAACATGGGTTTTGGTATGTTTTGGTAACCTTCACCTGAATTTGTCATGTATGCTGCATATGCAAGCATGTGCTATGAAAGATCCCAACCAGAGTGATCGTTGTCACTCAAGACAACCATTTGCAGGGCCACCAACACAGGAGGAAGGACCCCAAAAACTGTCCGGTCCTTTGTCAGGTCACTTTATAATAAGACTTAGCTTTTCGTGGATGGCGGCAATCCGAAACGCTTCAGGAATGAGATTGCGCCACTTCCGAAGACTGGGCAATGCACGGCCTGTGGCGCAGGATTCAGCACCAGTGACGTAGGATCCACCAGCTGTTTCAGATGTAAGGCGCGGATCTCTCCGTGGAGAGCCGGAACGGAAAACGGACCCCGCCCGGAGTGTTTATGTCATTCAATTTGTTGATTCTTTCGCATGTGTGTTTTCCTGAGTCCTCCTTTCCCAGTCCCTGGCGCCCGCCCAGTTGACGTCCCAGCAGTGACCCGCCCGGTTGGAATGGTTCCCGGTTCGCATGCCCAAGTAAGCTGACCTGGCTCCAGGTGGGTGCCTTTCGCTTCAATGAAACGTCGTGCGTGGCGTGTCCTGGTCGCAAGACCACGGCGTATCAAGGCTGGGGAGGTGGTTCTCAAGCAGGAACAATCCGTGTCGGTGGTTCGTCTTCAACTGAACGAGTTGGAACATGTTGGAACCAACTATGGACTGGCAACAGGATTTTGGACGATTCCTTCTGTAGGTTTGCGCTTCTTCTTGGGTCTAAATTTGGGCACTTTCTAGGTGGCCCAGTTTTCTTGAAAGCTTGGAACAAGGAGATGTCTGCTTGAAGGAGCTTTGAAAAGGACTTGGAAAAAGGCACCATGCCCTTCAGGTGCAGCTACAGTGGCCGAGTGCATTTGTCCAAGGACAACATACTTGGTGAATGGCCTGCGGGACCAAGACAAGCAACATATTCCATCTGGCACTTGCTCAGATTGCGGGGAGGGTTTGGACTGTGCCTTGGGCAGTGACTTCCGCAACTTTGAAGATTTCGCGAGCGGGCTGTCAGAGCCAGATCCTCTTCAGGAGAACCCCTTCCCAGTGGTTGAAGCGGGCTACTTTGCCAAGATTGGGGCGCTGACCCAAGTTTACAAGTGTGGCAGACCTGAGTATTGCCCCGGAGGATTGCCCGGAAGCTGCGTAAAGGGTCGGATCGGTTTGCTGTGCGGCCATTGCACGGCAGGGCAGAAGTGGACGGGTGAGGAGTGCGACGCCCGGTTGAACAGTTCGGGAGATGGGAGGGAACCAAGCTCTGGATGGGCCCTCATGGGTGTGTCTATCCCCGGCCCGATCGGCTGGGTCGATCGGCTGGGTCGATGTCCGCCTTCCCGGTGGGTCGGAACGCCGGCTCGTGTCCCATGTCTTGAGCTACACACCCAAAGTGGGCCCTCCGACTCACAAGAGGGGTTTCAGTGGATGGCGCCAGCCCGACCGCAATTATAGCCTAGTCCATGTAGAGTGTAGACCAGGCCATTGACTCAGATCAGTGGCTGTCACATCGAAGTGGAAAAGCTTTTGGATTGTGGAAAAACCATCACGTCCACCAAAGTGTCACGGCTGGTTCTTCAAAGAAAGTGTATTCCCCTTTTTTGGCCCTTTGCCATCCATAGAGTCCCCTTTCGAACAGAAGGACGCCCTTCCTGTTCTGTAATCCCCAGAAGTCCAAAGACATGCTTTTGCACCGCTGAAAGTAAGGGAAGGTCTCAGAGAAGTTCCTTTTTTCGGTCTGCCTTTCAGGTGCCTTCGATTGGGTGGTTTCCCAGGTTGATGGTTCATTTCTGAAGAATAGGAGCGTGCGATCTCAACAAACAAGGGCCCGTGGGTTGGGCATTTGGATGCATCTTGCTCTCCAGGTGCCCTCCGTGCGGTGCTTTTTCGGATGAAGTTTTCAGTGCTCCTCTTTTCTTTTCAGGCTGCAATGCGAGGTAGAGAGGTTGAAGTTTGAATCAACATATCATTCTCGAAGAACATTTGCACCAGACCTTCTTTTTGAGTCGACAGCGCTGCTTCTGGAGCACTGACATCTGCACATTAGTCACATGCACTTGCCACTGACGAACTAACTGCTTCTTCCTGAGATTCCAGGTTCAGGCTATGAGTGTTGAACAAGTTTTCAAAAACACCTCCAAACATCCATATATATATATATAACGAGTTCCTCCAAGAATCTGGTTACAAACATGAGCCCAAAACAGATGTCAAAACCCGGACTGCCGAGTCGCTGCTGGCGACTGGAGATTCCAAGGAAAATTGTGGTGTGATGGACAGCTTCGCGTTCTTGTTCGTCTGGATCTGTTTGTTCCTGGCCGTGCCGATCTTCTACTACTTCATGAACTCTCCAGTGAGTGCCAAGGCCAACCCCGCGAATGGTCAATTGCAAAAGGGTGACCCCAAGATGGGGCAACAGGTGATATGTTCGAAACGCTTCTACGACTCCCGGTGATGCTTTTACATGGCTTTTCTTTATTTACCAGGCTACCGCCTGCAGCCGCCGACCCCCAAGGGATAGAACCTTAGCGCTAGCCTTGCTCTATGTTAGCCTTAGCCTTAAGCCTTAGCCTTAGCCTTAAGAGTGCAGACCCAACCCAGCACCACCAAAGCAGGTACCCAAAAAGTCGACTTTTTGGGTACCTCCCAGATTTACCATCGGACGTCAGCTCTTGCATGAACCCCGATCATTGCCCAAGAATTTAGACCCAACCCTTCACCACCAAAGCAGGTACCCAAAAAGTCGACTTTTTGGGTACCTCCGACTTTTTGGGTACCTCCCAGGTTTACCAATTTAGACCCAACCCAGCACCACCAAAGCAGGTACCCAAAAAGACAAAGCCTAGAGCATTCCTAGGAAAATGCCAGAAAAGCCTTTGAAAATCTCATAAACCAACAGAAAACGTGACAAAATCTACGAAAAAGCAAGGGCATTGGCCGGGACCATGCCGCGACCAGCCCGGGATTCGAGCCCAGGACCATTTTGGACCGTGCTTATTTTCCCGCGCGGGTCGAGAGGGTGCCCCAAGATGTAAATCAATTGGGATGGCAGATTCTTGGACAATCCAGGTCGCTTTCCCGGCAGGATTTCGTCACTGCAACAAGGGTCCGGAGGGGTAGGGGAGGTAAGGTCTAGGTCTAGGTCTAAGGCTAAGGACTAGGTCTAAGGTCTAAGGCTAAGGCTAAGGCTAAGGCTTAAGGCTAAGGCTAACATCGACAGTCACGCCTCACCCCACGGTGTGGGGTCGGCGGATTCCGTCGTTTTCTGACCACCATATAACTTAATAGGGAAGACCCCCTGGCCCTGGCTGGGTAGACTGGTTTATTTGGCTAGCTGGCCTGCTGCCCAAGTGCAGCAGCGCACTAACTCTCCTCCTTCCTTGCTTCCTTGTATTCTTTCAGCTTTTTTTGCAGCTTGAAAGGGAGCTTTGGCAGCTGAACGGGTGGAGCTGCGGACGATTCGACAGGGTTATTTCAGGTGAGCGTGTGGCTGTGCCTTGCGCATGATTTGCTTAATTACGGGCTCGGGGGGGGCAATCAGCGCAATTGCCACCGCAGAAGTGGCCGGACGATGACGTGGCCCAAGCTATATGGAAGTGCCAGCCCCTGCGAACTGGTTAGCGCCGCGTGTGGATGTCGAGTTGTTCCGGCCCCTGCGGGAAACCCTTTGAAGGAGCTTTTAGAAATTGGCGCCTTGTGCATGGCTTGCGTATGTTGCCAGCGGGGTTTCTGACGGCTCGCTCTCCGATGCCGAGCTCTTACATGTGAGAGATGAGTTGGTCAGTTGCTTTCACGGAAAATCTACTTGTGATGCGGAGATCGCGTCGGGCTGGGCGCTTCTGTTGAACGCTTGGCGTGTGCTAGGCCAGATGACCGCAGATGTGGATAGCAATTTGAAATTGCCGCAATTGCTACAGGCAGGTGTGCCCACTAACATTTCCCAGCCCATCTGTTTCTCAGGTGTGTAGGAACCAGTAGCGAGCGATGCCGACGTTGAAGAGGAACTTTTGGTTCACCGCGAGCCTTGGGCCAGCGCGTGCAAATGCCCACAGACCATAGGGAATTGATTCACAAAGACTTGCGTGCCCGGCATTTGCGTGAGGTGGTCGGTGGAGAGGCCGAAGCGCGCCTTCGCAGGGGCGAGCGCGTTGCCGTTGGCAAGTTCGGCGTTGTGTACGCTGAAGGGCGAAAGCCTCGCCGCATAGGTGATGGCACAGTATCTGGGACGAAGGATGCGTGTCAAATCCACGACGAGAAGGAATGCTTCCCAACCTTGGAGTGCGTACAGCGGTTTCTGTCCATGACACCTGCGGACGCTGTATGGTCGGCCTGGACTTGGGACGTCCGTGGTGCGCGCAAGTTTGTGTAGCCGAAGAAGAGCAGTTGCTTCGTGTATGAGATCCGTTGGTTTCGCTACACACGCTGCATATTTTGGAGCGCATTGCCGCATGTTGGTTCTCAAGGGTGGATGCGTTCGTGATGCGGCGCCTGCATCGCTTCATTCTTGTCCAACATGGAGGGTTTCTTTATGTGGATGACGACGTGTGCCTCTTTCCTCGAAAGTGGGGCTCTTGCTTGCTTGTTTGCTTGCTTGCGTGGCACTTCTACGTGTGTCCTGGGCATTCCGTTCTCTTGGGAGAAGGTGAGGCTTGGCGAAAACATCGTCTGGCTATAGGCCCTCAAGCCATGCCGCGCGTCACATCATGTGATGCATGCTTGGGGTGGCAGTCACATTCGGTGACCGTGCAGTTCAATACTGCTGAGAGCGCGTGCGTTCCGAGCGCCTTCACCTGCAAAGAATCGGCGTGGGCAGCGCAGTTGTTTTGTAGTGCCGTTCATTGTCACATTGGATGTCCGTTGCGCATTCGTGAGCAGAGATTGGAATTGATTGGTGGGTGGTGGGTTCCGGACGGCTTGGAATCAATCCGCAGCCCTCTTGCTTTCAGTTCACTATGGTTCAGCTGCCGGGCTGGTTCAGCTCACCAGGGAGCTCTGCAAGCTCGCGTTGCAGCATTTGAGGCGTTGGCCCAATTAGTGTTGTTGCCGCTTCGCTGTGAAGAGTTGCCACAGCACGGGTCTTTCTTGCTTCTGTTCTCCCAGCTGACGGGCTCACCAAAACGAATGGATGGGTTCTCTCAGCCACAGCGGGGTGCCGCCTGGTCTTCTGCCACAAAAGCCGCACATGTGTGTAATATTGTCACGGCCATGGTGTTAGACAAGCCGTTTGAGGGTGGTACGTGCAGGCTGGCTTGGCCTTGTGTGTGGACCATTGCAAGAAAATAGCGCAGGGAGTGGGGTTGGCTAGCGGCTCCTCTCATGTAGCGCGCTAACCCTCTCCTTCCTTGCTCCCGCAAAACCCCACCCACCCTCCCCTTGATTGGCGCAAGTGCCTGTCCTGGAGCTTGGTGGATGCACGCCCGGATGTTGACACGCAACTGAACATGGAGGTTATTTGAGGACACTAGGCACCCAGGGAGTTGCCCGTCATCGTGGACTGAGCATCAACGGCTCAAACATCAAAGAAAGACCAATTCCTTCCAATTCGCCTATGATGTAGATGACTAAGCCCCCTATGAAGGGGTTTTACAATCCATGGTTTTTCAACGTGTGTTGCCTGAGATTCTACTGTAATATTTGTGCTAGGCAAGGCTGGCACACCTCCGCCGCCTTTTGTGCACCGCGGGCGCCCAACTCGCGCGCGAAGGACTTTCCTTCGGCCCGGCCGCAGTAGGCGTCGACCCTCCTGAGCACCACCGTGGCCTTCGGGATGACCCTGACGCTGCTGCAGACGGTGGGCCTGGTGGGCTTCGTTGGCATGAAATGGCCGCCCTACATGCAAAGCCTCGTCGGCTTCGTGTTTCGGCTTACAGACCGGGCAGGTCGTGTGCAAGAGCCGGGGGAGTATGGGAAAGTCTTGGGAGAAGTCCAGTTGCACAAAAAATCCTAGTGGATGTGGAGGCGAGGTGCAGACTAGTTGGTGACGCTTCATGTCATCAGATGATGGTTGATTGATCAGGGCCTTGCCATTAGCTTATGCCTTGCCTCTTTGGGTCCTCCTGAAGGAGGCTCACATGTCGTGGACGTAACCCGTTGTTCGATATTTTTTTGCTGGTTGTTTTTCGTTGTTCGATGGGTGCGATTCCACAAACCTTTCAGCCAAAGCCGCTGGAGACCAACACCACTTACTTCACATGATTGAAAGATCCCATGTGCAGGGTTCGAGCATATTCCTTGCCCCCCAAAGGAGTGTTTTCCAGTTTTCCATAGGTTGAGCACTCCATGTTTAGGGGAGTTGAACTTCAACGATCCTAACATGCTGCGGTCCGGCGAGCTCGGGCTCTTTTTTTGCTCATTTCCCTCCCCATCGGACACCTCCGTGGTGGTCATCCTGACTTGAGGTATCCATTTTTATGTTGGACTTGGAGGCCTTGAACTTCGATTGCTTTGGAGCCACTCCGGTGTCGTCCTATGTCACAAGCGTGCTTTTCTGGCCAGGAGCTTTGCTGTGGTTGTTTCTTTGCGCTGCGGCCAGCGGTTGCCTACCTAAACGTTTCTACAAGTATCGCTTTGTGACAGCCAAAGCGGTGAGCACCGCTGGGCAGATCTTTCAGATGGGATTCACCATCATGTCGAAGACGGTGTTCTGACTTGAACAGAAAACAAATGCTTTGCACCCAAAGACCCAAACATCAATCCCATGGCAGTGGGTCAAAAGCAGTTCCGTTGACCCTGGTAGGTTGATCTCCTTGGCCGTAGCTTTAGTATGCCTTACTGTAGTAGTCTATTCCCTTGATGTTCCGTTGGAAAAACCCAGGGTTGAAACACCCAGCCGCATCACTGACCGACAGGGGGACATAAAATTGCCTTTTACTATTGGTGGATGAATGGAGGGGGTCTTCTTTCCGGTTGTGAACTTCCCCAAGTAAGTTCAGTCTTTGGTTCCTGGCATCGACCGGCTTGTTTCCTTCTTCCCCAGCCCTTCGGCCGGACATCGTGGCAGCCAGGGCTTGGGATCTTTTCGACGTCCACCGACTGTTTCGGGTCCCTAGAGATGCCAACCCGCCCTGTCTTCGTCGGTGCGGGGGCGGCTAAAGACCGGCTTGAAACCAGTGAGGACGGCAGGCTTCGTCAGGCGGACCTGCATGACCTGGAGGTTTTGAATGGGGAGACGCCCAAGAATCCCCCCCTGGCTGGGTAGACTGATCTAGTTTCCCGAGCCTTGCAGGTCGGAACCGCCTGGGTTCGGTCTCCCTATTGTAATTCACACCCACCTCTGCTCATTGCTTGGGGATGCGTTCGAGGTGACCTCCGACACGTTGGGGCTCCGCCCTTTTCGCCACGAGGCCTTGATGCCCTTCATGTGCTACACCCATCCCAATGGCAAGTCGAGCGTCCTGGAGGTCACCGATGTGATTTGCTGGGAGGGGGAGGAACACATTATTTTGGTGATTTTTGGCGTTTTCATGACGGGAACCATGATCCTTTACTGGTGCACCTTGGTGTTTGCCACACGGGTGGCTCCCCTCCGCTCCGCGGTGAACGACACCTTCTTCCTCGCAGCGAGTCGCTTTCTCTTCTTCCGCTTCCGGCCGGACTATTGGTGGTATGGCACTTGGTTCATTTTGCGTGGGCCCTTGCTAACCCTGCCCATCGTCATCTTCACGGACCTTCCCCAAGTGCAGCTCTTCATCATGACAGCGGTCTTGGAACCTCGGTCCAAACAGGCGCGATTCATGTGGACAGTAGGTCGAGCTTCCTTTTGACATTCTGAAGACAAGGTTTAATGTAGACTCTTGATGAATTTACTCCCCTCCAATTGAATTGAGCCACCTCTTCCTAATATGCGGGGGTTTATTAATCAAGAGTCCACATTGAATCCTGCCTCTAGCAACTGACGCAGAATTCACAGTCGAAGACCGGTTTTGGAAACCACGCACGGTGTGCTCAGCCGGGGTCGTTTGCCCGATCCGCGCTTGTGCAAATCTCCTTTTCAATAGAACTCCTGTGCAGACATTTCTACCACTGAACCGACACTCTGAAGCGGGTCGACACGCGTTTCACCGCTTGGGTTGTCCCACTGGTTCGGATTTCTATTTCCGGGTGACAGTCCGAGTCCAAGTCATTTGCATCTACCAGGACCGACACCAAGAGGTGTCTTTTAAACAGCCTCAAAAAGAGGTGAGGAACGGGGTGTCCCAAAACCACCGGACGAGTTGTGGACCCTGTAGACCAGACTAGACCAGTGCGTAGCGGGACGTCCTGGTCACGACTCTGTCGTGGCTGTGCGTGTTTTTGTGGCCGTAGCATTTCTAGAAAGGGGCTGTTGTCCTGGCTGTGTACATCCAGAGCGGCAGATCTTTTGCCAATTGTTTCGAACGTTCCCTTCTTGCACACATCGATTTTTTTAAAAAGCTGCTATAGCTAGGAAATCTACATGGTGATCCAACTGGTGACCTGGCCTTGGAAGACTCCCATCATTAATCTGGCCGATGGCTTGATGAGCATGTTGCTGATCTTGCTGCTGGCCGTCGGCTCGGCCTTCCTCGACGCCTTAGAGGGGCAGGTGAAGGCGACCTACTCCGTACTCGCGGTGCTCATCTTGGGGAGTCTGTACTCCGTGACCTTCGTCTTGCTGTGTTTGGTGCTGGCGGCCTTCTTCCACAAGTCCGCCATGGGCCACCCGGCCGGTTTCAGAGGGAGGAGAGAGGCCCGGCACACGCGGGGGGACAGATGGTTTCTGGCAGATTGTTTGGAATGGTCCCCAAATTCAGCAACACCTGTGACCAACCACCCGTTGTCCCTGGAACGCTATGGAACCCTGGCTGAGGCAGTCACAATGAGCTTACGGTGCTTACACTTGGGAAGCCCCCCTCGACAGAGGATTTGGTGAGGGGCCTTGAGGCGCTCTGCTTTGGCTTGGATGAGGCAGACTATGCTTTCATCTACGATACCATGGAGGAGTGAGACACGTCTCTCCTCTCTCCTCTCTCCTCTCTCCTCTCTCCTCTCTCCTCTCTCTCTCTCTCTGTAGAATATACCAGAGCCCTGTCCATTAACCACCCAACTCCCATGGGTCCTTTTCTTTTTCTCTTCATTCATTTTCTCGAGCATCAAGCAGTAACAGATTTGGGCTAGGCTGACGGACGATGGACTTGGGCTTGTTCTGCTGTTGATGAGGAGAAACCAGCATCACCTTATTGAAAAATAACATTCTTCCTTGGACAGTCGTAGAGTCGCCAACCTGCTCCAAGTACCTACAAGAATTCCCTTCGGTGGACACTGGTCAGCCTGAACTTTCTAGGAGTTCAATGTCTATGACCGCCGCATGCTGGCCAGCATCTTAACCACCCTGGCACCCTACTTCGACAACGACGAGCGCATGCGGATGCTGCAGCAGTTCCGTATTTCTACACATTCCATCTCCACCTACCAGAGTGAGACGAACAGCGAGCGGAGCAGCCGCAGCAATCGGAGTATCCGTTCCACAAACCGATCGACGATTGGAGCAATCGAGGAAGCTCCGAAGCCAGGGGAAGAGGGGCAGTGGCTGGGCTTGCAGGTCTTTGGTTCAGTCGAAAAGAAAGCCACCAGATGTGGGTTTCTGTCATTAGTTTTTTTTTTGGTTGACCTTTTTGGTCTGCTGGTTGATGAGTACCCCCGAATGGGCGAAGTTTACTGCGGAACAAAAACTTACAGAGAGTCCTGACAGCATTCACTTGGCGCACTGCCCAGTTCGCCAAGGCAGATACACTCGGACGGCGTGGAAACCAGCATACGATCGACAGGAAGATCCACAAGGCTTCCATCTGATGAGATTACCAAGCCTTGGTTTATGGATGAAGCCACGGCGGCCGCGGCACACAGAGAGGAGAGGATGGCTCGAATTGAGGCAGAGAATGAAGCCCAGTTTCAAGAGGAGCTCAAAACGACTGACATTTGAGACACTGGGCGCGGCACGTGCGTAGGTGTGGTCATGTGACCCCAAAGCAGAAGCTGCAGCAAGAGAGTTCAATAAAGTCAATAAAGGCGCCAAAAAGACTTCGAGTGTTCATGATCCAGGCATCCTCAAACTGAAGGATTTGGATTGATTTGAGGACATTCACCCCTACCCAGTCTTATCACCCAATTGGGGGATTGCCCACTAAAATCCAAGAAAGGTGAAAAAAAGGTGACACCTATGGACAAACCACTTGTTTTTCAAAAGGGCACCACTGGTTTGGGGGGAAGTGGCATTTGTTTGGCTATAGGAAGATGTTCATCGCGCCATCCAAAAACAGGCTTTCATCACTTCCATGTGATGCTCTTGACAGCGTGTTGACCGTCCTACCACTGGGTGCCTCGTCTCTCGGTGACTTGATGACCTGGGCCCGGTGCTGCCGGGGCGCTGTGTGAAAACAGCTGCCTGGGGTGGATCTCCGAGGTCGCCCAAGGGCCTGTAAGAGTTTACTTGGGGTTCAGAACTTCCCCCGGAACTTCGTCATGTGGATCATCAAGCAGCTCTGCAAGCAGATCGCCCGGCTCTCCCGAAACGCGGTTTCTGCTCTCGGCGTGCCAGTGCGTAGATTCATGCTTTGGGGCTCGCCACGCTACCAGCCAACGGGAAGCACCTGGGACCACCGTCCGAGCCAACAGCCACAGCCGAGCTGCGACTCTCGTAACCTGTTGGCTGAATCAGCGGGGTGGGCCACGTAGATCAAGATGAGGAGAAGCCAAAAACTATCCTATGAGGGGCACTTTTTGACAAGAGGTTTCGGGGTGTCTATGAATCCTTAGACTCGACCTGATTCGGTGTGTCTTTGAACCACCCATCCCGGGGGTCCTGGTGTAGACCCAGATCTGTGTCTATCCGATTATCCCTGGTGATCCTTCTTGCGTGGGGCTCTCTTCATTTTGAGGACCAACTCACATGATTTGAATGAGGCTTGCGGCCAAGCCAAGCTTGGAAGTGGAAGCCGTTGGAACTGCAGTTTTTTTATTTCGGTACTTGCTGCACCGCTGAGCTCCGCTTTGCGCCGCGACCGAACACACACCCCTGTGCATGGGGGCAATGACTGACATGGGCAGGGTGAAAATGATCCTCAATCCAATAGTATGGAAGTGGAACATTACCTTCGAAAGCAAGCGTTTCTTTCCCACTTCAAAACTTGTTGGAGGGAGGGTCGACCTCAAAAAGACATGGTCATGGGATGTCATGGGTTCATCATGGTCAAGCAATCATCCACAGGTAGACAGTAGACGGTTTTTTGACCAAGCAGGTGGATCGTCGCTCGGTCGTTCAGCGCAAATCTGGGACGTCTCTGACTCTTGACACCAGCATCCATCAGCATAGCCAATCTGCCGATGCACCCAGGTCTTCTCTTCAGATTGCGTCTGCCAAACTGGTTCAAACTTCCCAACTGTCTGCCGATGTCTTGCTTCTCACACTGGTGGCATTAGACTCCTTAGACGAACCTGCACTTTGTCCTTCGAAGTGGGGTGCCTTTTTCGACACGCCGAAACCTGCAAAACGCCCATGGTGGCGTGTCCTGCTTGGAAACGCTCCGTGCATTGCCGCCGGAGCGCTGATTGGATCGGCCGTGCCCTACGTTGGAATGCTGGCGGAGCGTTATGTTTTTTTCTTCGGGTCCCGTGCTCCGCTCGGTGGTTGGGTTCCGGAGCTGGGGCGGCGGAGCTGTTTTTTTTGGGGGCGACCTGCCAAGCAGAACGGCAAGTCAACCAGTTCGCTTCGAAGATGAAGAGCGAAGATGAATTAACGTTTAGACTTCCCATTGCATTTGTATAGCTAAGCGCTTTGGAGAAGCGCTTCATTGGGACTTGTGTGGGCCCTCGAGGAGCAAAGTGGTGATCGCAGAGGTGCCTGCCACCTCAGCCCCTTGGTCACTTGCAATCGACTTCTTTCCAGTTTCCATGTTTCTGCTGGCTGATGTTGCTTCCTTTGTGCCTCTTCTCTGTGGTCGCAGTGGTCGCACCGTAGCCCAAAGAACGGTGGTGTGCACCGCACAGAGAGCGCAGTGCTTCGGACCTCGTGGTTTGGGCCCCACTGCTTCCTTCGCAGCCCTTCGGCGCGTACCGTGGTAGACACACAGCCCGTGGCCCGAAACGTCCGGGCTGTGTTTTTCCTCGAACAGTCCCCCACCGGTCCGCTGAGAAGAAAAGGGAGCTTAGGCGCCGATCCTTCAAGGTAGGCGCCGATCCTTCAGGGCTTTCGCTGTGCCTTGCAATTTGGGCCTTTTCGCTGAAGAGATCAGGAGAGAGTCATGAGTTGTATACGAGGCGTGGTTTCGCACCTGTTGTCACATGTTGTCACCAGTTTCCTGTTTGAGGGTCTCTTGATGCACTCATGTCTTAGCACTTTGTGACAGTTGTGAGCTGAGAACCCCAGGCACTTCGGCGCAGCGCGCAGCTTGGGAGCTCAGATCGGCACATCGCAGACTCTTCTCGTAGAAACGCCACCAGCAGGGTGGCCAGAGGTTGCATTGGGTTGATTTCCCACGCCGGACAGCCGTTTTAGAAAGCTTTTGGCCTCCAAACGTGAAGATCAAATCACACCCCAGGCAGGCCCTAATTCGGCTCATTGCCCCTCTGGGACAGGAGGACACCCCCACTTTGGTCCGGGAGGCCTGGAAGTCATCCAAATTTGGGATCGTGAGCGGCCTCCCCGCAACCTAGCGATGGCCTCCAACGAAGAAAACCCAATGGCCTCCAACCACAGAGCGATCGCCTCCAACCCACTACTACTTCGTTTTTCTCCCAGTTTTCTGACCGGTCCCTTCTTGATCTGCTGTCAGGTCGTGCTGGCAGGTCGTGCACGTTTCACCGCTTTGGATCAGAGCCGAGAACCACCTCTCCTGGCACCGAGGAAGGAGCGATTCGTTCGGTTCGTTCGTTGTTCGCGGAGGACTCGGCCCAGATGCCCGAGGCCTTCCAAGATCATTTATATGAACCGTTGACCTGGGTCATGTAATGGGAGTTCATTTTTTTGTGGGTTTTTTAGAGGTTTTTCTCACCGTAGTTTGTGGTGTGGTAGCTTTTGAATTTCTGTTGGCTTTTGGCGGCTCTTCGTGGCTTTGATTGGCTTTGGCTTTTGGTTTTGGTGGCTTTGGCTTTTGGCTTCTTGGTTTGTCTCTGTGGCTTGTGGTTTCTGTAGCTTTTGGCTTCTGTAGCTTTTGGTTTCGGCGGCTTTTGGCGTCCGTGGCTTTGGGCTTTTGTGGCTTTTGGCTTCTGTAGGGATTATATATATATATAGGTTTGGAGATTTTTGGCTTCTGTAATGTTGACACAGGATTAAGTCTATTAATTAAGTAACCTTCCCTTATTATTTCTTCGAGACCAGCTCGAGCTCGAGCCCCCAATTATATAATATAGAGCTATTTTTACTTTCTATTTCTTTTTGGTCAGTATCCAATATCTTCTGTTCCATGGTGAAATTGATCTTCTGATCAACCTTTTCTCATGCCATCTCTGAGAGATAGCATTCTGATCCACCCTTTTCCCATGCTGATCCTCTCATCCATCAATCATTCTTATCATGTATCCGAATGTATCCTATCAGATCTATCCTATCAGATCTCTTCTCTTATCAAGCCTGTGCCAATATACTCAGAGCCCTTATGGTTCTCATGGTTCAAACTCTCATGATTCAGACAGAATCGCATCAACCCATCATCATCCATCATCAGGTCCAGGTTATCATCTCATCATCCATCATCAGGTCATCACCTTTATCAAGGGTACGTGGTCTCCAATACCTCCAATCTCAAACATTGTTGATCTTGTTGACCTTGAAGGGGGGGGTTGATTCATCCGATGTTGACATTAGCCATTAGCTTTTAGCTTCTCTAGCTTTTGGCTTTTGTCGCTTTTGGGTGCTGTGACTTTTCGCTTCAATGGTTTTTTTCTTGTGGCTAGCTTAGAGGCTATGCTGCTCACAGTGCTGTGCTGCTCACAGTGGCCAGGGATGCTTGCCCCGTTCTGCTCTGAGTTGCCAGCGGGGAGGCTAAAACCGAAGTACCTCACTAAAGCCAAACCAAAGCCACCAGGTACCCCTGCATCACCATATGAAAGCACTACCAGAAAAATCATAAACAAGACAGAAAAAAGTTACCAGAAAAAGGCAGCCTGTGTAGTGATCTTTGGCAAAAGCATGGTTGTTCGGTAAAGCGCTAGAATACATTGTCTAGACCCCAAATAGATAAAAAAGCAACACCATGTAACATCCCTTCAACATTTATTGGATATAATGGAACACCATGGTGGTTGGGCATCCCTAGGGTATGAGAAAGACCACGTCAGACTTCCCTTTTGAACCCGACCGCAGCCACGAAGCCAGTGGTGGATTGGTGCGAACTTGTCAGGTGGCCTTGAACTCCCACTGGTGGACCGGACCTCGTCACATGTGTCACCCGGACGGCAGGTGCAGGTGGACGGCAGGTGTCAGGCGTGCAGGTGTCATCCACAGGTGTCATCCCTCGCTTCGAGGACCCTTGAACTGGTGTCCATAGGCCCCTAGCCCATCCTAGCCCGAAGCCCACGTTCGTAGCTTCTGGCTCCCCCCTTTGGTAGGCAATGCCCTTGGGATTCCGGTTCGTAGCTTCTTGTGACGAGTCGTATGGCATGGCTGCGCCCTGTTCGTAGCTTCGGCTTCGGCGCCCAACGGTGCAGCGAACGGAGTCGTTCCAGGAGTGGTCACTGAGCGCCTCCGGCTGCGCGGTGCTGGGCATGTGAACGCTGAAAGTCTGGTCTCTCTCAGCACCCGACTTCAGGCGTCACTGACTGCACGACCTGTATTCGAGCCTTTCCCAACCCTCAAAAGGAGACCTGTTGGAGGGTGCTGGTCCAAATTCACAGAAGCTTGAAGAGGTGCCTTTTCTTTTGCACACATTTGGATACATTGGTTGTTCTGCACGATCTGACTCATTGAAGACCATCACAGCAGCGTTT